CATTTATACCTTTACCCAGTAACAGGAGGTATTGCTAACCTCAATTGAGAGCCCGTGGGCTCCAAAAGCTGATGAAAACATAAATGTGTTGTAGAAGTCTCTGAGGACCTCAATGCTTATCAAGCAATGTACAAGTTGCAGGACTAGTAGAGTCATTTGAAGGTGACATTCCATAGCAATTAAGATTCCATAATCTACTATTGTTTGCTTAAATCACAACCCCAGAACAGAAGGGAGCAAAGTTACATTCATGAATCTGAAAGGGAATAGTCACCATAAACGTGTGGAGTCCTTGGATGGTTGTTGGAGAACAATGAGGTTCATAGACACTCTTATAAAGACAGGGTTCATGATAGTTAAACCTAACTTGAGATTAGAAGAACTAAAGAGTCTTTCTATGCAACCCACAAGGTAAAGGACTTTAGCTATTGCCATTGCTTCATAACGTGAAGCAAACTTTAAGGCTGCTACTCAAGAGTCAGGGCTAAAATGAAGTTTGATAGGTAAGTCAAACTTCTCTATTACTCAAAATTTAAGTGTGAACATTCCAAAGTGAAGGTTTTACTCTGTCCATGTTCCACAAGTTTGTAATTTCTTTTATCCAGCCAGGTAACCAGCTATCATAAAGACATGTACAGGACAATTGAAGGATTCAGTGTTTTAGAATGGTTGTGAATTTACAAGGATCTGTCATATGCATTATAGAATGGCAGCCTGCCACCTTTTATTCTAACTGGGTTTTAGTGTTTCCTAGAATATGTTCATGAAAATTTTATATAAACAAAGGAATTTAAATATTCTATAATGTTTCAGAAAAACATTTGCTTTGGGAAGTTTTATCATATATATGGTAAACACATTGTGCATGTGTATAAATATATATAGATATATACCTGTGAGTCTATATGTGTATATACCAATAATATATAGAACATATACTTGCTTATTTTATATATTTTGTGAAGTATTTCATGACACCATGTTACAACTGACAAATACATTTAGAGTAACATGCTCCTAATTTTAATGCTATGAATGCTTGAATACCTTAAGAATGTGTTTCAAGGTATTCCTAGGGTTTGGTTTGAAAAGTTGCATTACAAGAACTTGGAAAATGAGGTTTTGATTTCACTATGGAGTTTCACAAGAGTTCCTTTAAAACTATTAGCAGAAGCTGCTGTGTCACTCAAATGGCAGGGTTTATGTCAAATGGTTCTTAGAACTCTTAAGGCAAGAGGATCATATTTCCCCATTCAAAGAACAATTGCATCAAAGATGCATTGTTTTCTGTGTGGTATTTTTTGAAATAAATTATTGTTATATAACTTACTTCTTAGAATCTTCCTGCCCACTGCTTTACAAGTAAGTGTGCTCCTTCCTGTGTCCCTGGAAACAGTGTGTGCCTGAATATGTATTCACCCTTTCATGATACTTCAACTTTGTTACTGATTAAGCAGAAAAAAATTGTGACTCTATTTTAGCAGTTTAATACATATTTTGTACAAGTCCAGGGCCAAAAGAGGCTAACTGATTTTTCTATCCTATTAGTTGATTAACTTTACTTTTAAGACCCCACTGTAGGGACTGGATTTCTAGGCTTGGTCTGCTATAATATTTCCCAGCATTAAAATTGTTTATACTCTCAATTGCAATAAAATTTTTGTCTGCCCTATAACATTTCAAATTAATAAATTGAGTAATTTTTTCTTAATCCTTTCTATTTCATACTTATCAACCAATGGTATCTATTATTGATTGTTTTCCTTGCTACTTCAGCATATCATACTTTGAGACCTAGTTATAATTTTACCTGAATATTTTTGTTCTTTTCCTCTAATAATGTCTCATCTGCTATGTGAGCATGCTCTTCCTAACAAATTATGTTCATCATAATTTTTCCTTGGGTTTCTTAGCATAATTTAATTTTGACTTCATGTTTTTTTTCCTGTCCTTAGAAAGGTAAGTCATGTTTACACTTTTCACATAAGGATAAGATTTGCCAACAGTGTTAGATGGTATTTGAGATTTACATGTTGATCTGGCCTTGCATATATGAGAACTATTCACAGCCACAGAGGTGTTCTCTGTTTAATCTCACTTTTATACACAGCTCCTCTCATGGCTTCTGTTAAGCATATAGGTAAGATTATTTTATATTTTTAGTGCAATGTTTCTGTTACCCTGTCTCCTGATTCATTGGTCCATGTGGTTTAAGACTAAACTTTATCTTAATATTCTGCACTTTATCTTTAAGAATGTCCTTGAAATTTTCCTTTAAAATTGACATTAGTAATCTCCATTTTAATCTATCAACACTTTACTGGTATTACACTATACTCTTGTGCAGTTTAATATTCTTTAAAAATTTTATACATATATATTTATTCATACATGTGAACTTTTTCCTCACCATATAAAGCAAGTATAAAATGCCTTTATTTTATTGCTCCTGAAAAATGAGCAAGCTAACAATTGGAAAGCTAGATGTATGTTTATATATTATACACATACAAATATGTGTGTATACATGCACTAATATGGAGTAATGAAGAAATCTCCATTGTCACTCTCTCAGGGTTAAAGTGATAAGTTTTCCTTAGTTTTCCATTGGTTACTAATGTTTTGAAGCTGGTTACCTATAGCTCACACCTGTAATTCTAGTCACTTGGGAGGCTGAGATCAGGAGGATTGAGTTCGGAAGCCAGTCTGGGTAAATAGTTTTCAAGACCCCATCTCCAAAGTAACCAGAGCAAAATGGACTGGAGGTGTAGGCCAAGTGATAAAGTGCTTGCTTTGCAAATGTGAAGCCCTGAGTTCAAACACCAGTCCCACCAAAAAAAAAAAAAAAAAAAAAAAAAACCTACAAAACTAATCTTTTGAGATAATTTACATGTCATTAGAATGAATTTTTTTTCTTACTTAATCTCAAGATGATTCTGTCTAATGCTATCTAAGTGTATGTTCACTGTTGGTCATGTTCAAATGTAACTGTCCTCTTAATGTAATATTTTGTTATTTAAATTTTTATTTACTTTACATAAACATTTTGAAAAGAATATGCAAAACCAGGGCAGTTAATTCAGTCAGTCTTCCTGGGTTTTAACCCTGTTTTGTCAAATACCAGCTGTGTGACCTCAGTGATCTAAAAAGCCTAGTAAAGTAGTATGATTGATCAATAGAGAAATACATGTGAACTACTTAGCTCAACATCTGTCAGATAGTAAGCTCCCAATATGTGTTAACTTCAATATCATCATCTTCCTAATTTATGAGCCTTTGCTTACTCACACAATATAGAATTATGATAAAAGTTATACTGAAATGTTCCCTTTCATTTGCTGAACTAAAAGAGATAAAAATGACTTAAATTCTAAGAAAATGCTATCTGCTATTTTCAACTACCAACATTTTATATTTTCATATAACAGTACATTTTTTAGTTTAAAATCTACCATCTGATTTAATCTTCATTTTGTGGGTAGAGGTAGATTGTGGTTTTCCTCAATGAAAAGAGAGTCAGCAGGAATGCAATGAATAAGTCTTGCTTAGTTTCAAATCCTGTTGTGAACAGGGTTACAACTTGGGTCATGTGATCCCTCTTTTAGAGCTCTTATAATGCATCTTTTCAAATATGTCTCAATGTTTGTGTTACTCAACTTATTCTCTTCCTCTTTTACTTCACATGATAAATTCCATGAGTCACCTTATCTAAAATGCTGTTATAAAGAGTTCTTAAAAACTATAAGCTTGCTAGGAGAAAGCATATTATTTTTCATATTCTCAAAGTGAAGAATGACATTAAAATCATGGCACAACTTTAAAAGAAAATGATTGAAAGTTAACGGAATAAAGTAAAACTTTTGTAATTTCAATTCACAGTAAAAATTTTAAAATTTCCAATTTAAAACTATCAAATGTCAGAAGACTGATTGTTTCCTTAGATATTAATAAGGAAAAGATAAACCAACCTCTGGAAAAAAAAGATGAAAAAGGATGTTATCAAAAATGTTTTGAAATAAAAATGGATATTAAACTTCAAAAATGGGTTAAACTTCACTCAAGTATTTATAACAACAGCATGAAGTGCCAACATACTTACTAAAGTCTTAATGCTCAGTATAAACCAATGTGGATGATTTATGAAGCCTGGCATTCTCAAACATTGCTGTGTACTTGGAATGCAGTAAAACTATCTCTACCAAAAAAATACTTTGTTCCAGGAAATTCACTCCCCACTTTTTACTGGTGTTCTAACAAAAGCATGTAGAGCTATATGTGTGAGAAATTTTGCACCAATTTTTTAAGAGCAATGAATGAGACAAAACAGTGTTCATAAATATGGAACTAGCTTTTCAAAAGATGATATTCATTATGAAGTATTGTGCTATAGAAAAAGAATTCTATTCATATATTGGAATACCTCTATGGCATATAATGAGAAAAAAGGCAAGTTGCAGAAAGCATGATGCAGTGTATGTTTTATGCCATATACATATGTGTATATGTTTAAAATCATTAAGTTATTGGGAGTGGGTAACATTGATGACTTCGACAAATAGAATCAAGGTTAAAGGTGATTTCTCATTGTATACCTTTATGATTTTTAATCATTTTTACTTGCCTTATTTTATAATTTTTCTAAAAGGAAATTTTGCTTATTAATGATAACTATAGCAATTATTCACTAAGCAAAAATTATGTTAGACTCTGGGCTAAGTACTTCACATCATTCTTAATCTTTACAACAATTTTGTGAAGTAGTTATTGCCACTGTGGCAAAGTGAGGTGAAGGTGAAGTAGTTAGCAACAAGTCACACTTGGGCAGTAATGAATACCAAATTCAAATAGGGGCCGATTCACATTCTTAGTAGATGTCTTACTCCAAATCAACTATTGCATATTCATGGCATAAATAACACAGCATAACAACATCTTCTTTCCATTCATTTTCCTTTTAAAGTATTATTACAATAACCACTGTGCATATCTATTCATTCAACTGATTACCAGCTATAATCTTGTTTTGTGCTGTGGGGATTCAGAAGTGAGCTAAACAGAAGTGTCTGCTTCCTCACAGACCCAACATCCTAGCAGGTGCAGGGCAAAACAAAAATCATAAGTCACTTGTAGAGTCTGTCTGGATCTCCGGAAAACAATGCAGAGAAGAAAAAAGGGAGAAAGAGGTGTTCAGAAAGGGAGTGATGGGAAGGAGGGCATTGATCTAGTGGCCAGTAGGCAACAGGCTCTTGTCAAATGCTGCACACCATTCACTTCATTTAGCTCTTACTCCCACTCTCTTATTTAGTTGTATCCATTTTTTGATTAAGAAAATAAGAACAGTGAATATGTCAGCTTGATTGGGGTAATCATTTCACAATCCATACATACATTAAAACATTACTCATTCTGAATTTGTGTTAATTACATCTCGATAAGCTAAAAAAAAAAAAGAAAAAGAAACAAAGAGTGAGTGGTTATATAGCTCCTTATCCTCACTCAATATTACTTGTACCTGTAAGCATCACGATTTAAATTTATATCTGACTTTAACTCTATGTGTTCTCTCATTTAAAAAAAGACTTTCCAAAGAATTGTGCCTAACCCAACTGAAGTGTATAAAAGTTTTCTGTCCTTCTAATAAGTTTATAAAGAGGTACAATGGATTTGCATAATGCAAAGTGCACCCTTACATAAGACACGTTTCTGTAAAATATGGTGAATGTATGATCTTTAAAAATGAAAACCCAACATTATTTGCTCTAAAATGGGAACAGCATTTAGTTGTCATATTGTTCCAAGTGTACATTCTCCTCAGACTCCTTGGTTGTGTATTCGATTCAGCTGTGTGCTTTATGAGTTCTGAATGCTAAGCTACTCAGGAACTGTTGTCTATGGGATTGAACACTTAACAGTTGCCTCTGGGAATGTGAATTTGATTCTTTGGCTTGCTCGAGAGAATGTGTGACATTTTCCTCTCTAGAGACAGTCTGAAGATTTGGACGGCACTAGGCTGCTGATTAAATAATGATCCAAGTAAGTTCAGTGTCCATTTAGAAATCTATTTTTCTGAAATCTATTTTTCTAACACTGCTCATGCTTTCATTGTAATTGACATGACTGACTGTCATGTTAGTGTGTTTAAAATAAACTCTTTAAAATAAATTTTATCTGCTCTTGAAGAGGTGACCTGTTTCTAAGTTGTAATAGTGGTGTGTGTGTATGCACGAAAATTAAGTTTGAGAAGAATGTATTTGTATCTAAGGGTCTTTAAGCATACAATGCATATCTAAACATAGATATTCTTAATTAAAATATGTATATCCTTTATACTACTTGTTAATATCACACAACCAAGGTAAAAGTGACAGTCTTAAAGAAATTGCCTTAAGTTTCCTGAAATCTGTTAGTAATTCTTTTAAAGTAAAAAGGACAAATCATATTGAGATTGTATAAGTCTGTTTCTACTTTATCTTAAGTGCCTGAAATTTGAAAAATAAAATCATAATGTACCTAAAGTATTTCTATGACTTATTATTAATTTTTAAATAAATGTGTCTATAAAATCACCCTGGAAAAAACAGCAATGTGTGAGGCAAAAAGGGTGTTTGGGGCTTCTTTCCAGTTCTGTCTGCATATAAATTAGAGGATTCATTGAATGTCTAAATGCTTAGGAGAGACAGCACAAGCAATCCAGTGACAAGGACCAGTTTAACTATGATCTAATGAGCTAAATATATGTCTTTCCATTACTCTTAGGTTGCTTTATTTCAGGAGTAACTTGGAGACATTTATCCAGCTAGCCTATCAGAGAGATGACAGTTTAACCTTTTGAAGATTTTTGCCTGTGTAATTTCTTTTGAAGAATGGGGTCTTAACATTGAAGGTCCTTTTTTCTTCAAAATAGAAGACCTTCTGTTTTGATTAGACATCATAATTATTTTTCTCAAGTGTCTGTTGTATATATACTGCTTACACTAAATGATCATCCTCAATAGTAATTCAATTTAAACATTATTTGTCATATTTTGACTGAAAACATTTACGTGATTTTTTTGTGTAGAAGGCTTTTTCTGGGCTTAGAAAATTTCTGTAAAACTAGCAGAAAACGATAAGCAGTTAAGAACTTCCAGCTAAAACAATAGGCTATTTCCTTTTTGCAAATCTGTTTTTCATTTTAGGTGAATGAGAGAGTTTTCAGTTGTTTACAAAATTAAGTCTCAAAGTACTTCACGTTTACGCTGTACAGTACAGAAAAGTACCCTTTAAACTTCATGAAATGAGTTTTGCAAGCTCATTCATGACAATGTATGATTATGCATGATTTGTCCTTTCTATCCCAGTTTCAGTTCAACATCTGGAATAATGATTGTGTTCTAAAACAGCATATATTAGGGATGGTTCAATAAGTCAGTTCCTTTTGTTTCTCTGGCCTCTGCCTTACTTGGATGGGAAAATGGCCAAAAAAAAAAAAAAAAAAGTTTTGCTGAGTATCTCAGATATAGGTAATGGGTCTTCAACAAAAATAGACCCTTATGAGCCATACTAGAAGTGTTGTGTGTGTGGGTTTCTTTCTCTCTTCTTTTTTTTCAGTTCCTCTGGCAACAAACCACACACACACTGGGATCTGACGTTGTATTTTTTTAAGCATATTTAAACTCTCACACACATATGTAATGAAGATTTCAGGATAGGATTTTTCTGCAGCATTTCATTTGATCCTATTAAGAATTGTCTGTTCAAGTGTTTGGAATGTTTAATTGAAAATTTCTCCTTAACTTTTTAAAGGTAAGTCATATGATTTTTCTTTAAATAAAAAATAAATCAAGATTTTCCATTTCCCACATGATGGGAGATAACACTTCTCTATATACTCCTTAGAAGTTACATAACAAGGACAGTGAAGCGTAGTAACTGCTTTTTAAAAATGTTTAGGTTTTATTTTAAAGTAGGTTTGTGTTGTTCCCAGTCTTGCTACATTTTATACTTAAATAGTATTAAATTTGTGTTTGATGGCCAATGATATTTATTTTTTGATGCTTAATCTCATGTTTACCTGTAAATATTTATTTATTGATATTGAAAATGATTTTCAATGCAATTTAGATTATAGTGAAGCGTTCCTTTTGCACTGAGGCTAGTCATACATAATATTTAATTATGATGAAGAACGTTATAAATGATCAAAACATGAGATTAATTTTTATAGATGACTTGAAACTATGTCAACATTCTCTCTAGTATGCAATTGTTAACTACTTCTTGCTTTACAGAGTCATTAGCTTGTTTAATTTTCAATCTGAATTGCACAAGTTATGGTGAACATGATTTTTTTGTATATAAAATGCATATTTTGGATACGTATTTAAAGATATTATACTTGCTACCAGGAATGGTAAAATATATTTATTTTAAGCAGTGATCTAAAATTTAATTCATGTAAATAAATGTAAAATTTAGTACAAAATAAAAATAAACCAAAATTAATATCTTTGGAAATTCAGGAAGATTATTACAAATATTAGTGAATTATTCTCTTTATTGGTGATACTAATTTAAGTAAGGGACAACTCATTCTGGTGAAATGAAGTAAAAATACTCAATTAATTACATTATCTTTATAAATAACTGTAAATGGAATGAATTCTCTACAGTAAATTTGAAACAGTTTCTGAAGGTGTCAAATAAGGTATCAAAAGATGGTTGGTGAAGATTTTTAGGACCTTTCGGTCCTTCTGTGGTTTCAAATTAGTGAAGTCTCTGGCATTGAAAGAAAATATTTACTTTAAATACTGCTGTATAGGGAAACCAAAATAAAATATCCAAAAATTTTTGTTATGTGCAAAATGCAGTGGTTCTTTGGAGTTTATGAAAAAAAATGGAGAGATCTTTTAATTTACAAAAATTAGAATAATAAACCAAATACAGAACCATCAGATAACAGGTTAGCCTGCAAGAAATATTAAAAATTACCATGGGAGAAGTACTTGTACATAGTGTACTGAAATTTTTGGAATTTGCCTTAGAGCTCATAGTTACTGCCTATGTTTTCAATGAAAATTTTGGCTGTGTTCACTCAGATTCACCTGAATTTTGTGCATGTGTTTTGCTTTGTATTTCTGAAGGAACTAACTCTGTATCTATTTCGGATTTAATCACAAGACATTAGTTCACTGGCCCAAGATATTACTAATCTTTCATGTAGCATTGCTCAAGGGTAGTATCCACCTTTCCACTTGCGTGATATTTTATTTTCATGTGGGTATATACGTGTTTGTGTGTGTGTGTGTGTAGTGTATATTTCATTCAATTTTATTGTATTTTGCAAATAATAATTCCTATTTTTGTAAAATATATACATTTATTAGTTTTTTAAGAAATTATCACTTGGACAACATGAAAGAATGGTTTGATATTATATCATGCTTGCATAAAATAATGTTTCATAACATTTTAAAATAGAAATAACAGTTTCTATAATGGGAATTTTTAAACATTATCTCATTTAGATTATTTAACAATTATAAGTTTATTTGGTATGTAATAAATTCAGAGAAAATTGAATCATAGAAGTTGTATATGAAGACTCAGAATTGAGTCCATATTTCCTATCTTTGGGCCCAAACTCTTAGCCACTATAAACCTTGTGGTATGTTTCTTTCCATTTATAGTAGAATTTGGGACAGGAGGGAAAAAGGTAATATTATTCCTACCTAGGGTTCAGTGATTATCAATGACTCTAGATAATCCTATTTAAGTCAATACAACTAAAAGGAATTATTTCAAACCCATAGGAATCCCTAAAAAGCTTGTATGTGTGTGTGTGAGACAGTACTGTAGTTTCAGCTCAGACACTTGCTAGGCAATTGTTCTACCACTTGAGCCATGGCCATAGCCTTTTCTTTTTTGCTTTAGTTATTTTTTAAATAGGGGCTCACATTTATGCCTGGGAAATCCTGAACCACAACCTGCCTATTTATGCTTCCCAGTAGCCAGGATAACAGATAGACACCAACACTCACAGCTTGATTTGTTAAGATGTGTTTTTTCAAACTTTTTGCCTGAGCTGCCCTTGAACCAAGATACTCCTGATTTCCGCCTCACCAGTGGATAAGATTATAGGCATAAGCCACTATGCCTAGCCTTACTGTTTCCTTCTTGAAGGATCTTAAGTGTAATATGTGAAGTCCAATGTATTTACTTGACTGACTTAAGATCATCGCCAAAACATTTTTACATTGCAATATTTGATAACTATAATTTAGTGAAGTTATTGTCTTATACTACAGATATTTGCACAGTCTTCTACTTTTATTTGCATATATACTATTGAGATGCAAATGTACATCTATCTCAAAGGATAGTGATGATTTCATTAAGATAAAATGTTGCCTAATACCAGTCTTTAAGTTTTTCTGTAAAACCCTTGAGTTCTGTGGGGATGGCTCAGAGTCCTGTGAGATATGATTAAAAGGGGTAGCTAACAGCTTTTCTTTGAACTGTCTTTATCCATTGAGATTTTGCTTAAAATTTAACTTGAAAGAATAGACTTCTGCCTCTAAACATAAGTCTATAAAACTGACCTAAAATCTTCTGTTTTCACATGATGAAACAACTAGGTTTACAAATCTTTTTTAAAATTTTTATTTATTTTTGTTGTGCTGGATAGGAGTGCATTGTGGCATATACAAGCTTTCTTACAATGTATCAAGTTTATCATTGTTGAGTTCACCCCCTCCACCATTTTTGGAACCAAATCTTGAAAGGGTTTCACATTAATTTGACAGCAATAGCTGTACACATAGTCCCTACCCTCATGAAATATACAGATTTACTAGTCTAATGCTAAAGATACAACACTGACGTAAGTTAACACACATTTGCTAATTAATTAGTGTTATTCAAAAATATTGCTTTATCGTGATATATGCATGTCTGAAATGCCAAGACAAAACCCATTTGGGCTATCAATATGAACTTTTAAAAAATCAGGTATAGGAAGATAAAACCTTCTCAGGGGGTGTATACCACCAGGA